GATTTGTTATAATTGTTATTGTTATTGTTTGTACATTTACTTCATTAATTACCGCAATTATCATTGATTCGTTTATATTTCAGACGTGAAATAAAGCAATTTAATGAGTCGTTGGCAGATCTGCTCCAGTCATTGATGTACAACACACAGACAACGGGTAATTTCGCGGCGTTCATCCGGGTATTCTTACGACGAGCTGCCGAATTGAAGGCGTCTGAGTTGTGTCAAAAGTTTGTCTTTCATTGTTTTCAGATTAAAATTTTACTGAGTGGTTCAGATTCTACCTAGTATCCTTTGCTGCAGATAGTTGAATATTATTTGAGATTGTATTGGATTTTATTTGATTTGATGAGTTTTATTGAGATCATTATTGGTTAAAGTGGTGGAATTGAAGTGATGATAATTAATTTCAGTACAATATTTTTGTGGCAAACAGCGAACGCGTTAATAATCCTTCGTTATATATGCAAATTCCTGACGGAACGCCTTACGGAAGCTGAATTTGTGAAGGTTTTCGATAAGAAATTGGTGATAAAGAATGAAAAAGATGGTAATGTTAGATTTTTTTGAATATTCTTCATTTTATCGAAGTTATGATGATGGATATTATATTGGTGTGATATGAATGGTAATAATTATTGATTTGGTGACTCTAATGGAGATTTATTTTGAGTGGATTCCGATACGGAGGTAGATGAGAACGTGGATGGTGAGGAGGAATACGAGAATACGGCTGAGGAGTTTTTGGATGCCTTGGTGGATATTTTGGTGGAGTTACCTGTGAGGTGAGTACGATTGCTTTTAGTGGCGGAATATTTTTGTGGTTACGATTAAGATTTTAAATTTTATGATTCGTTATTTATCTGTTATGATGGGTAACAGATAATTAGAGAATAGGTACAAGCCTGGCTCAGTCTCATAGCATCAGTAATATTTGAACAACATTCGGTTTCGAGTATTGGTGATTTGTAATGGAATGGTGATGAGATTGATATTTAGTGACACAACGCAAGCAATTCATATCGAGGCAGTAAAGTGTGTGATAGCGATATTGAGTTCGCAGTTATATCACGATAACGTGATGAATTCATCGATATTTTTTGCGTATCTGATGCGAGGGAAATGGTTAGTTTTGGTTATTTATTGTGGTGGTTTGATTGTGGTTATGGTTTGGATGGTTATTGAGTTGGTTTGGATTATGTTTGGTATTGTATAGGGTTTAGTATTGTTATTATTATTGTTGTGAATGATGTGACGGTGGAACAAATTTAGTTCGTCACGTGCAATG